TGACTCATGCCTTCCTGATTGTAGGCTCTCAGTGCTTCTGTTTGATTAATTTTCACAAGATCAGTTTCATGTTTTCAAATAGCTCAAGGGGAAAGAACTTGCCTTTAGCTGATGGTTGAACCAAGTTTCTTAAATAAATAGAAGTATCATTTACTTGGGAATAAAAAATGTTTTGAAAACAAGAGAATGTGGAGAGAAAGAAATTTTGTCTAATTTGGCTTTAAATAGCGCTAGTCAAATAAAAAAATGGCATGCTTTCTAAAACAGATCTTTTCAATTTTACTTATGTTTTCATGAGGGAAAAGTGGGATTACTTCAGATTTAATTGGCCATACATGACCCTCAGTCTATACTTAAAATTTCTTTTGGTTTCTTTGACATCTGGAAGAAGTTTTTTGAGTTAAATTTCTTCAGTCACAGCGGTTAGAAATGGGTAGACCTGCCTGCCGCAAATGTCCAGGACATGTTAAGTTACAAAGCCTTGTGGGCAGGGTACATTCATATTTGTTCTACTACTGGATATGTAGATGAGCTAAGACAAAGAAGAAGTCATCTTGGGCAAGTCAGTTTCCTCCTTTGTTAAAAGAGGGGATATGATGCAATATTTTATAAGGTCATTTGGTGATCCTATCTGTGTAAATCCAATATTGATTACTCTGTGTTTCTGCCAAAGGAGAAAGTTACAGAGGTTCAGTGAATGGGCATCTGATAGGTGCATCATTGACTCTTGATAAAGGCATGATTCCATAAGGAATCCAGATGTCTAGTCTCTTCTCTGATGAGTCATAGATTTTCTTGTAACTTCAAATTTTGCACTGAAATGTTTATGATGCTTTGAACGAATAAATCATATTGAATCCTTGCTGGGGAAAGAACATTTGGCCAAAAGCTATCTGGGCATCTGGTAGCTATAAACTTCAAGCCCCAATTTAATTTGGATTTTGTAAATGTTTCTCTGTTGCTTTTACAATAGATTTACATGAAATAGGCAATAGATCTACATGAAATTTATCCTTGGCAGACAAAGTTAAAGTCTCTTCTTTTCCTTCTATTTGTGTTCTTCTTCAATGTCCTACTACCTTTTTTTTTGCCTTCCTCTGTTATTCTTGGTCCCCTGTTCTTTTCCTTCCCTTCCTCCCTTCCTCCCTCTTTCCTCCCTGCCTCCCTCCCTCTTTTCTTCCTTCCTTCCTTCCTTCCTTCCTTCCTTCCTTCCTTCCTTCCTTCCTTCCTTCCTTCCTTCCTTCCTTCCTTCCTTTGCTTCTCTTTATATCAATATGCAAATAATCCTACAAATCTTAAAATAAATTGAGTGTTAACACTGACATTGTGTCTATGTGCAATCAATAATATTGATTTATACTTATCTAGCACCTTGAGGCTTACAAATTAGTTTGTAAGTAGCTAGTCTGATCCTCCCCATAATCCTATGAAGCAGGTCATGCAAAAACTATTAATTGCCATTTTACAGATGAGAAAAGTAATTTCCAAAGAGAGTAAGCCCTTTGTATAATGTCACCAACAGGAAAGTGCTTGTACCATAATAGATTTTGAGTTAGAAGGAACCTTAGAGGTCATCTAGTCGAACCCCTTCAGTTTACAGTTGAGGAAACCAAGGCCCAGAGAGGTTAAATGATTTGCCAAGGCCACACAGGTAATAAGTGGGTAGAGTTGGGATTCAAATCCACACCCTCTGGTTTCAAATCTAAGGCCTTTTCTATTCTTCCACTCTTTCGTAAATACTGCTTACCAAAATTATAGACATTTAACACACATTTTCTAGTTCTTTGAGCAGGATTTTCTGGTTTTGGCTGTCTTAAGGCAGCTAGGTGGTGTGTCAGAGCTTTGCAGTGGGGATCAGGAGGACTTGATTTCAAACCACGATTCAGATACTTCTTGGCTATGTGACTCTGGCTGGCCTCTTTTTGTCTGAGTTTCCTCATCTGTAAAATGGAGACGATAATAATAGCACCTGTCTCCCAGGGTTGTTGTGAGGACCAAATGAGAACACCATTGTAAAACTCTTTGGAAAGTATACATAAATGCTAGCTATTATTAATGTACTTATGAGGAATGTTGTCAAAAATCCTTGTAAAGTTGGAACCTTGGCAAGCTCTGCTTTCATCACATGAGAAAAGCATCAGCAGGAGCCACAGGAAAAGCTTTCTCCTGATCTCTATTTAGAATAGGAAGTAGAACATGTAGCCATAGCACGATACAAAAATAACTTGCAACAGGACATGACATTGCATTGAACTGGAATGAAGCATAGTTTAATATTTGCTGATATTAATTGTTCTAGATCCTGCCAATGGATAAGCTTTTCTTGGAGTGTTATTTGGACATTCCGCTCAGGATGAAGTAACTCCTATATATCATTGCAGTGTCATTCAGCAAATTGCTTCTCTTTGGCACTAAAGGGTCCTGAGTGTCCAAGCAAATTGATATACTGCTTCCTCTGTCTCACAAAGGTATGCAGAGAAGGAATTTTTCATATGTACACAAATTTATTTTTATTGAGAAAGATGAGTCAATTTAAGTTCCTAACCAAATGCTTCTATGATCTGTCATTTTTAACTCCTTGGGAAAAGGTTCTAGATCAGGGGTTCATAACTGTTTTTGTGTCATGGACTCCTTTGAACATCTGATGTAGTGAAGCCCATGGACCCCTTCTCAGAACAGTGCTGTTAAATGCATAAAGGAAAATACATAGGATTACAAAAGAAACAAATTACATTGAAATATAATTTCAAAATGGAGGCAGCTAGATAGCATAGTGGATAGAATGCTAAGCCAGAGTCAGCAAGACCTGAGTTCAAATCCAGCCCCAGATACTTACTAGTTGTGTTTTCTTGGGTACACCCCTTAACCTGTTTGCCTGTTTTCTCATCTGAAAAATGGGTATAATAATAGCACCTAATTCATGTTGTGAGGAATAAATGAAATAATATTTCTAAAGTGCTTAGCATGGTACCTGTACATAGCCTATATAAATGCTAGTTATTTTAATTGTAATATGACATTCTATCAGCTAATAGAAAATATAGTTATGTTATATAATTATGACAATGTTATATAATTATTGTTAATTTGAAGTTATCAAATTGTTTTAAAATGCAAGTTCACAGACCCCAAGTTAAGAACATCTTTTAAATTTTTTGGCATGCCACATGGCTAGTATGTGGTCAGTTAAGAATATACTGAACTATCTGGCATTTCTGACCTTCACCCTTAGAGCCTAGAATAGGGCTGAGGGATAATGGATATAGGTAGGGCTGGAAGACACCTCAGTGGTCATCCATTTCAACTTCCTCTGTTTTAAAGGGGGGCTGGTCACTCTTAGGATATATTAGGGTCTGCTATCTACTTTGAGAGGAACTGGGCAGATAATAATTTGGTCATGTCCAACTCTTTGTGACCCCATTTGCGGGTTTTCTTGGCAAAGATACTGAAGTGGTTTGCCATTTTCTTCTCCTGCTCATTTTGTAGATGAGAAACTGAGGCAAATGGGGTTAAGTGACTAGCCCATGGTCCCATAGCTAGTAAGTGTCTGTAGCCAGATTTGAACTCAGGAAGATGACTCTTCTGACTTCAGGCCTGGCATTCTATCCACTGCACCACCTATGTGCCCTAGATAATAATTCAGTCTGTGACTTAATGACTTCTTTGTTACTGTTAGCTAATCTCAATGGGAACTACATTTTTTATGAGACAGTAGTGGTAAATAGTCGAAAGCACTTTGTAAAACTTAAAGAGCTATATAAGTGTTGTTATTGCTGGAAGATATTCTATAAAGGTAGGGGGTTCATACTGGCCTGACCTATGTCACTTACCATTTCTTCCTCCTTAGCTCCAGTCTTTGCTATTTTCCTCCTTCTTCATGTTTCCCTGAGGTTTTTTCCCCCAGTATGCATATATTAAGTGATGGACAAACTAATTTTGTTTGAGGTATGCTCCAAACAATGCAAAAAATTAAAGAAAAAAAAGCTGTCAAAGGTGAATGACATCAATAGGGAAGATGATGGAGGTCTTTAGTTCTTAGGATAGTGAGTTGGAAGGTATCCAAAACTATTTGGAAAAAAGTAACATACAGACCTAACTTACTGATGTTAGTCAGACATAAAATCACAATTATCCTCTATTGTTATTTTTATATTAGTAGCAACTCACATTTCTATAGGCTGTCAGGTTTATGAAACACATTCCTTGAAATAATTATGCAAAGTGGAAACTGCGAGTCTTATTATCCTCATTTTATATAGGAGAAAACTGAAACTGTAGAAAGTTATATTAGTTACCTGAGGTCATCCAATTAGTAAATGCCAGAGTAAGGATAAAAACCCGTGTCTTTTCTGACTACTAAGTTAAATTTTCTTTCTACCGTACAAAGTAGCAGCAGCCGTAGAAGCTAGCATTATATACAGTGCTTTTAACATTTGCAAAGTGCTTTGCAAATATCTCATTTGATCCTCATAGCAACCCTGGGAATTTGGTGCTATTATGATCTCTGTTTCAGATTTAGATAAAGAAGATAGATATGAATATACAGATACAGAAACTGAGGCAGACCAGAGGTTAAGTGACTCATTCACAGTCCTATAAGTATTGTAGACTTTTGGAATAAAAGGGGAAATGCCCATTAAGGTATATATCGGAAAGCAATCCAAACTGCATGCTGTGAAATTATAGTGCCCACCCTCAGCTTCAAAGAAGAGATATTGAATGCAGCTTCATTTATATGTAGAGATGAGGAACCATCAATATGGAAAACTGATTATATCATCAGACTTTTAAAATTATATTGGTCAGTTTTATAGATTTTTTCTTTCTATTTTCCCCTTCATTATTTTAAGGGGTGGCACTCAGAATGGGATGGAGTTACCGTAGGAAATATTGGTGATATAAAAAAAGAGATAGCAATAAAATTTATTTTTGAAAAGCATGTGTTGGATTTTTTTTCTTTAGCTGATGAACTGATTGTTTTTCTATCTTGCGAATAATAGGGTCCACAGGAAGCATCTTCGTCCTCACTTGTGCTGAATGAACCGTCCTGTTCTTTTTCTTCCCTGGAGAGTTCAGTCAAATCACCCAGCAGCTCTTCTTCTTCCACATTTAAAGCGGCGGCCTACCCAGAAAGGCAGTCTTGGCTCGACATTGTCAATAGTTCCTCTACCACTGAAGATGTGGGACAATCCATAATGGTTCAGATCCATTCGCCTGCTCCCCCAGAAGCCTCAGAAAATGGCCTTGTCAAATCTGAAAGTGGATTTCTGAACTCTTTGTCAAGTGAGGAGACGTCCTCACCAAACAGCAGTTTAGATCACCTCTCTGTTCCTGATGATGCCCTAGGACTCAAGACATCAGACAGAGGTAACTACATAGAAGAGTTGTCTCATATGTATGCACATGGTGCACACACTATGTGTGCGCCCCCACATAGTTTCTGTAAAAACTTCTTATTTCTTTGTAGAAATATAGCCCACTGCCAGGCACATGGTAAGTGTTTGATATATGTCTGTGGACCCGATTTAACTGTCGTAATAGATAAATTTGAATTAGGAACTTTCTAAGCTGTGGTTATTATGACAGAATAACAAGACTATTGCGCTGGTTCAGCCCTATGTTATCTTTTTCAATTCAGTGTGCACTTGATAAACTCAAGACTTAGTTCATAACCTTCAAGTAGTTTTCATTATTCTAGATTAATAATGTATGCTAATGAATTATTTCAATTTGACAAATAATTTTTAAATACATGAGTTGTAATTCTAGAGAATGGTTCTGATTTCTACAAGTCACATGGGAAAGCAGATTTTACAAATGTATATTCTATTGTTTGTAGCCATTTAGTTCCTTCCTTCCTTCCTTCCTTCCTTCCTTCCTTCCTTCCTTCTTCCTTCCTCCTTCCTTCCTTCCATTAATAAGATCATAGGATCAAAAGAGTATACCTGGAAAGGCATCATCTAGTCTAACTGCCTCGTTTTATAGAGAAGAGAGTTGAGCACTAGAGAGAAGTATCTAGTCCAAGATCATTTAATAAGTTGTGTCCTGCATAGGCCATTTAATTCCACTCTGTTCTAGTTCTCTCTCTCTCTCTCTCTCTTTCTCTCACACACACACACACACGCGCACACAAACACACACACAATGTGTTTCAGATAGTCATTTCACAAATATATTCTCTGTTACACAGAAGAAAATGACAATTTTTAGCTCCAATGCAATTCAATCAATCAATTAACAAACATTTATTAAGCTTCTACTATGTGGCAGGTCCTGTGTTGCACACTGGGTATATGAAGACAAAATGAAACATTTCCTGTTTTCCAGGAGCTTAGATTCTGCCAAATCCACTGACATTGTTGCATACTTAACTCAAGTCTAGTCTAATGTAAGGTCTAATCTAGTGTAAATTAGTATATGTATCTTTATGTGTGAAGGACAATACATTTTTATTATTTATTCTCTTTGTAAATGAGTTTGTCTTCCATATATATTTATGTTTTGCTATTAACTCTCTTACACTAGCTAGTCATTTCTTCATTTTTGAAGTAAGAACAACTTCTGTGCTAAAATTCACTGAAGTCTTTGGCCCATTTGACTTTCTGTGTTTTTCCATCTTCTATGCTGGCAACCAAATCTAGGTGACAATATTCTGAATACACTGAATTTGTATTTCTATGGTGTAACCTTAAATAGGGCTGCTATGAACTAAGGGGCACTGGCCAAACTACTGTGCAGTCAAAGTGCTACAAAGAGCTTCCCGATTCTATTAATCCCTGTTTCCAAACTGGGGACATGGGGAAGACCCTGAAAAAATACCTGATTGTATCCTGGTCTGAAGGGTGGTGTTCTCATACAGCAGTATGGAGGATCGTAAATTGGAGGGCCATCAGTCTAGAACTCAAAGGGACTTTAGAGGTCATCTAATCTAACTCTCTCATTTTACAGATATGAAAACTGAAGACCAGAGACAAAAAAGAAATTATAGCAAATTGTCACACAGGTTTTAAGTGGCAATTAGGATTTGAACTAAATAGCTTCATTGAGTATTTGGCCTCAGGATCTTTTTCACAGTTGAACGGTTTCTGAGTGATGATACGATGATAACTTGTTACTTGGAACAAAGCATTTCATTTAGTAATTAAATGGTTATAAAATTGTGGACTTAGAGTATGTCAAATAAAAATTTTGAGTCTAAATTTTACAGTAGGGCAGCTAGGTGGCACAGTGGATAGAGTGCCAGGGCAGGAGTCAGGAAGATTCATCTTTCTGAGTTCAACTCTGGCCTCAGACACTTACTAGCTGTATGACCCCAGGCAAGTCACTTCACCCTGTTTGCCTCAGTTTCCCCATCTGTAAAATGTGCTGGAGAAGGAAAAGGCAAACCATTACAATATCTTCACCAAGAAAATCCAAAATAGAGTCACAAAGTGTTGGACGTGACTGAAACAACTGAACAAGAGCAACAAAAATTTCCCAGTAAATGCCTTACTTTCTGGAAAATAAAAATTGATTTAATCATTTTTATGTCCTTGGAGAAATAATGCTGGCTTTCGAAAGTCCCAACCAATCTGCAGGGTCACAGTCCTTTACTGGAAAGAAACGTGACGAAGGTTTGAAAACCTATCTTGCATTGTTTTCCATGAGATAGCCTTGTAGCTTGAGGAAGGGCTCTTTGGGATAGCTGGTCTTAAGTTAACTCAACAGAAAGGTCATGGGAAGGCTTCTATTGTTCTTACATCCAGGTCACTTCAGGACAGCTCACAGGACAGTGTTGGATTATACATCAGTAGCCCTTTTCATCATGATATTTTACTGAAAAAGGAAAAGGAAATCCTGGGATATTTTGTTTTAAGGGACTTTGAAGAGCAGTGTAGTCTGTAATCTCTGTGCACTTGCTTAAACTGCTTAGAGAAAAGACATTCCTGTGGAGAAAAATAAGATAGAAAACAAAACTGTTTCTCCTCTTGTGTTGCTGACAGTTGCCACACGTTATCGATCTTTCTTTCTCTTTCATTCTTTCTTTCTTTCATTCTTTTTTTTCTTTCCTTCCATTTTTTCTTTTTTTCTTCCTTCCTTCCATCCATCCATCCATCCATCCATCCATCCATCCATCCTTCCTTCCTTCCTTTCTTTCTCATTCCCCTGCTGTCTATGAGTTTTGGTTGAATTCCTAAAATAGCTAAGCCAAGTGAAGTAGTCACCATGGAAACTGTAACCCAATCATTTGGTCATGTACATTTAGTGCTTACTGTTGAGGAATCAAATTACATGCTGTATGCCTCCCGGCCTTTTTAGAGTTGTGTCTGCATTTCTTGGGGAAGGAGGGAAAGGATAGGTCAGGTCAGAGGGTAGCATTTTATTTCTGTAATTTTTGGAAACTTTTTTACTATACTGCTATAAAGAAGAGTCCTGAAATGTCTGTGATTGAGAAGCGTCACAATGTTCAGTTTTCAAGATAATAACTGAAATACCAATGTGCTCCTGGTCAGGACTTTTGTTCCAGATGAACGGAAGAACTGCTATCCCAAGCTCAATGTGGTTAGCCTTTGCTTTCAAGCTTGCTTAGAGAAAGGCATATTTAGCTTAGGATAGACATTAAAACGACAACAGCAACAAAACTTTCCAAGTCTCCTTTTATTCTACTAGCACGGATAACTTTACAAAGTGTCAGTAGCTTTTCCTTTTTCCTTTCAAAGAAAAAAGTTTGGATAGCTTTCATTTTTTCTAGCACCTTTATTTCCAAATATATCTCTCCTCCACTCAGAGAGCCATCCCTTGTATCTAAGAATAAAAAAGAAAAAAATGTTCAGCAAAATTAACCAATACATCAACTAATTCTGAGAGTATAAAGAATATACCACACTCCTAGCTCTTAATGGAGAATCCAGTCGAGTTGAGAAGCATATGTATGTGTATGGTATGTGTGTGTGTGCATGCGTGTGTGTCAGACACACACATGTGCTTCCCAACTAGACTACACATACACACACACACACACATTCTTCCCAAATAGACTACACACACACACACACACACACACACACACGTGCTTCCCAACTAGACTACACACACACACACACACACACACATTCTTCCCAAATAGACTACACACACACACACACACACACACACACACACACATTCTTCCCAAATAGACTACACACACACACACACACACACACACACACACACACACACGCACATTCTTCCCAAATAGACTGGCCTCTTGAAGGCAGGGACTGTCTCATATCTCTTTGTCTCACCAATGCTTAGCAATTGCCTGGCACACGCTGACTTCTTGTTGTCGTTTTTCAGTTGTGTACAACTTTTTGTGAGCCCATGTAAGGTTTTCTTGACAAAGATCCTGGAGTGGTTTGCCATTTCCTTCTCCAGCTCATTTGACAGCTGAGGAAACTGAGGCAAACAGAGTGAAGTGACTTGCCCAGGGTCACATGCCTAAGTAAGTATCTGAGGGCAGATTTGAACTCAGGTCTTCCTGACTCTTAATAAATGTTTTTTGAATGAATGAATGCGAGTGATCTCCTTCTGAGATAATCCTCTTTTGAAAATGGATCAGCTACCTCCCAAGGCATCCTATTCCAGTTTGAGATAACCTTGTTAACGAGATTTTTCATTCTAAGTAGACATTGGGTTCTTCAATTCCATTGTTGCTTGTAGTATTTCTCTCAGGGGTTAAGTAGATCAAGTCTAGTCCACCTTTAACATTGTGGGCCTTTGAAAACATCAGTAACCATGGCCTCTCCTGGGCTCTAAATTTTATCTTCTCTTTACTAAGCATACTCAGTTCTTGCAACTGAGTCTCAGGTGCCATGACCTCAAGGTCTTTAAGTTTACTGTTTATTCTGTTTGCTATACACTCCAGCTGATCAGTGTCAGCTTTTTTTTTTTTGGGGGGGTGCCTATCAAACTATTGACTTGTACTAAAAATTTTTCAGTCCACTTAATCCCCCAAACTGGAAGTTGGAAGGGAGGGCATTCTAGACATATGATTCAGAATCACGGATGTTCTGTTTACTCCAGTCAAAAGGTCATTTTCCTGAGAAAACTGAAACAGAATAGCAATACCCAGTTCTGCCTTTTCTCTCTATCACCTGTTCTCAAAATCCAATATACACTGAGTACTGGTCCTATGCCTTCTTTGATTCTCCTCTTTTTCCTACTTCCTTTCAGGACATAAATGTCCACGATGAAATATTTTGTACAGCTCCTCAAATGTACCTCACTTTTAATATCATGCTCTAGCCCAGAGGGGTCAAACATCTGCTGCTTGCCACATTCCTAGTGTAGCAACCAGATTAGAATGTAATTGGGAAATATTTAGCAAAACAAAGAAAAATACAATA